CAAAGAGCTCTCTCAGCCCCACTTATCTCACAGGGAGTGTTCCCTCTAAGCTGAGTTAGTGTGAGCCAGCTCACCGTTTTTTTGCCTCCGGCCCACACATTTTTGTCTTAGCTCTAGGAAGGATGGCTCCAGGGCAAACTAATTTATGCAGTGGCCAAATCGCTCGCTCACAATTTTATTGCCAGCAGCTCACAAAGTAGAATTTTTTGCTCACAAGACTCCACAGCTTAGAGGGAGCTTTGCTTCACAGGGTGTCTGTTGTGGGGAGGGGAAGGGAAAGGAGATTGTCAGCCGCTCTGAGATGCGTTCGGGTAGTGAAGGGTGGGGTATAAATCCAATATGTTCTTCTCAGGGGTCATTTCGTAGAAAAAGAGGTGCAGGAGCTCATTAGCATAGCTCATTAGCATAACTCATTTGCATATCACACACCCCCTGACATCAAAGGCAACCACCACCGCTCAGGCTCCACTGGACTGTCTTGGATTGCTTGCTATTGCGGCGGGGAGGACACGTGCAGATCTCTCCTGGCAGAGTGGGAGACCTTGTACCTGAATAAAACTTGGTCTTAAAGGTGCTACAGGACTGTTTTGGGCCGAGGGGGGCTCTGCAACTTACCTGGCTGCTTCTTGCTCTGGCTGAGGGCTTCTGGAAGCAGGGGCTGGGGCTTGTTGCATGTGCCCGCCCCCTGGGCTCTTTACTGCCGGAGATCCGCTCCTGTGCACTCCTGCAGGAAATGACCCCTGGTTCTTCTCTTCTTCTTCTTTATCTGGAGATGCCAGGCACTGAACCTGGGGACCTGCTGCACATAAACGCACTCCCACCAAGCCACAGTTCCACACCATGTAATAACCGAAGACTAGACAACCTTTTCAAGGAAAGATAGATCTTCTTCTCCTTCAGGAAGCCCTGATCTGTTTCCAGGAAGTCCCAAGACTCCGCAAAAATGAAAGGCATTGCTTTTGTAGAATCAAACACAGCACATCTTAAAAAGAGCCGATTCCTGTTGGAACCGTCACTTTAATCCACTCATTTATCTTTCCCACAAGTTTTAGTTATCTAATAGTTTTTGGTGTTAATCTTCCCTTTGTTATCACGACGCACTGCGATGGTACAAATGGGGCATGCGTCTGTATGCATTCATATGCGCTTCCCCCTGCACACGTATTGCTAGACAGGCTCGCCGATGTTACAAATTCTTTCCAGCATGGCGTGCGCTGCCTCTTCCCATAAGGCTTTTATCACTTTGCAATAAAAAAGGGGTCTGTTGGGATTTTTGCTAGATTTTTTTTTTTCCCCTGTAAGGTCAATTGAGTTCGCCCACTTTTGAAATATCAAAGTGATGAAAACGTAACTGTTCTGGCTGGTCTAGAGGTGGCAAAATTAGAGGAAAATGCCACCCAAATCCGAGAGATTGCTTTGGAGGGTTTGGAGCATGCAAAAATACCTCAAGCCGGCTTGAAAAGGAGAGCCACTGCCAGCAAAGCTCAAAACCATCTAAGCTGAGAGCAATCCACAGTCAGATCTTCCCAGAGTCTTTTAAACCTGAGAGACAATTCAGCTTTGGATCGGGGCTGCAGGGGGAGTGAAGAGGAGGTTTTGCTCTTCCTCCTCTGTGGGCTTTGCTGTTTGAAACTAACCAACCACCCCTCCTGCAATAGGGTTACCAGCCCTCCAGGCAACCAGCAGGGTGATGGGTGGGTAAGGTTGCGTGATCCAGGTTGGGAAACTCCTGGAGATTTGAGGGTGGAGCCTGGGGAGGACAGGGACCTCAGTGGGCTACAATACAGTAGAGTCCCCCATACAACGCATCCATTTTCTCCAGGGGAACTGATCTATGCTATCTGGAGATGAACGGTAATTCTGGGGGGTCCCCAGGTCCCACCTGGAGACTGATATCCCTACCCTGCAATCTGGGTAGCTGGCTGTAGTTATTTTTCCCTTTAAAGGGCTAATAACAGCATTGGTGTAGTGGTTAAGTGCGCGGACTCTAATCTGGGAGAACCGGGTTTGATTCCCCACTCCTCCACTTGCACCTGGCTGGATGACCTTGGGCAGGCCATAGTTCTGACAAGAGCTGTCCTTCAAAAAGAGCAGTTTCTGTCAAGAGCTCTCTCAGCCCCACCTACCTCACAGGGTGTCTGTTGTGGGGAGGGGGAGGGAAAGGAGTTTGTAAGCCGCTCTGAGACTCCTTTGGGTAGTGAAGAGCAAAGTATAAATCCAATCTCTTCTCTTCTTCTTCTTCTTCCAGGTGGGGCCTGGGGATCTCCCGCTTTTACAACTCATCTCCAGCTGACAGAGATCAGCTCCCCTGGAGAAAATAGCTGCTTTGAAGGGTGGACTCTACGGCATCGTACCATGCTGAGGCCCCTCCCCTCCCCAAACCCTGCCCTCTCCTGGACCCACCCCCAAAGTCTCCAGGTATTTTCCAACTCAGACCTGGCCAATGGAGGGGGATGGGGGGTAGGGTGGCCAGATCCAGGCTGGGGAACTCCTGGAGATTTGGGGGTGGAGCCTGGGGAGGGCGGGGACCTCAGTGGGATGCAATGCCCTAGAGTCCACCCTCCAAAGCATCCATTTTCTCCAGGGGAACTGTGCTCTGTAGCTTGGAGATGTGCTGTGATTCCGGGCGAACCCCAGGTCCCACTTGGAGGCTGGCATCCCTGCAATAGAGTAATTCTACTTAGGACCAATGTTCCCTCTAAGCTGAGTTAGGGTTAGCTAGCTCACAGTTTTTCAGCCTCGCGGCTAGCTCACAGTTTTTAGCCTCCAGCTCACACATTTCTATCTTAGCTCAGGAAGGATGGCTCCAGAGCAAACTAATATACGCAGTCGCCAAACCGCTCGCTCACAACTCTAATGCCAGTCACTCACAGAGTAGAATTTTTGCTCACAAGACTCCACAGCTTAGAGCAGTGGTGGCGAACCTATGGCACGGGTGCCAGAGGTGGCACTCAGAGCCCTCTCTGTGGGCACGCGTGCCATTGCCCCAGCCAGGCCCAGACCATCATTAAAGTGTCAAATTCTCTGCCAAATAATTTTAAGTAAATGAAAGCATTTGGGATTGCTTTCCTTACTTTGTTTGGATCATCTTAAGTTACTGTATGAGTTGTTTTTTCTAAAGTAAAACCTCAGTATTCGGGTTAAATTGCCGTGTTGGCATTTTGCGATGAATAAGTGGGTTTTGGGTCGCAGTTTGGGCACTCGGTCTCTAAAAGGTTTGCCATCACTGGCTTAGAGGGAGCATCGCTTAGGACTGGGCTATTTATTGCTATTAATCCAGCCACTCATGTCTATAAACCAGTGACCAGTACGGCTGGGCCTGCCGTCCTCAGGTGATGGACATACTACAGGGGTCATTTTGTAGAAAAAGAGGTGCAGGGGCTCATTAGCATAACTCATTAGCATAATTTATTTGCATGTGTCACACCCCCTGACATCACCGGAAGTGTGTCAGAGGCAGGGGTCGTTTCGTAGAAAAAGAACTAGGGGAACTCATTAGCATAACTCATTAGCATATGCCACACCCCCTGACACCACCAGAAGTGTGTCATAAGGCCACACCCCC